ACAGTACACCCTGTGGCGGCTGCCTGTGGCGGCTGCCTGTGCCGCCTTATGGTAGCACAGACCCGGGAATCTCACGACCCGCACAAAACCAGAGGGCCGTATGTTGTGCAGGCCTGCTTTATATGGTCAAAACCCATTGTGTTTATTTTATATCTTTTACTTTTACAAATAAAGTTTTACCTTTAGGATTTATTGTTTTGGTTTCTGACTCTACTGCGTTGTTTTAGAACTTCTATGTTCCAGTGAACCTTCTACAGTACACAGCCATTTCTTTATGTGGATGAAAAGCATCTATAGTTAAGAGCCAGTCTTTAAATTGCTCTGTAAATTGTGAGTTCTCCAATTCACCTTACTAACTCACTATTCTTTTTACATAGTACACTTTGGTACTTTTTATGCTAGAATTATGCAGGGCCTATTTATGATTTCATATTGAAAAGAACCTACTTATGATTATACATGGAAAAGGTAAAAAATAATTGTGACTGACCCTCTGGTCACCTTAGTTGGATACGTCACCACATTTTCCAAAGAAACTATATTCACTATGGATTAGCCCTCCAACCCATGTTTCCCTGTCCAGCGCCCCTTACTGGACTATTCCTTTGTATAAGTCACCCTGTGTCAATTGTGAGTGCAGGGTGTGTGTGTAATTTGGTTGTTTGGGGTTAAATGTTAGTGTGCTCTCCTGTCTTGCTAATGCTTGCAATCAACTAGGTGGATTTGGTTGTGGAACCCGTACAGTGCCACTGGTTGGTTGCAAGGATCTAGCAACGGCTGTATGCATTACCTGAATGGCAAGAATGGCTCATTTGCATATTCAGGTAGATATGCATATTGCTAATTCTGCATGCAGGAGAGATGTTTTGTGTTTAATATTGTCTTCCCCACCCCTTTATAAATATGCTATTATGTTATTATATTTCTCTGAATGTTTTCTGACTTGTTTCTGTTATTTGTAGTTTATTAAGTGTGTCACAGCAAGCTCTATGTATCGAACGTATGGGCTAGTCCCAAGTAAAATAAAGTATTGCATGTTAGTTCCTTTTGGAACTTGTGTCCTATGTATTATTTAAGGGATCCCAGTGACAGAGTCTTTGGACCTGTTTGCTGGCTGAAGGATCCCTCTAGCCCTAGGAAAAGTCAAAAGAGCTTGGCCTGAGAGCTGCAAATGCCTTTGTAAAGGCAATAGCAAGCACTATAAGCAGAGCTACAGAGGAATAGGCAGAGGGAATGATACCTGCCTGAAAGGAGTAGGCCGAGGGGACGATTCCTGCCTGGAAGAAGGGCTGCAACCTGGTTGGGTGGAAAAGCTCCAGAAGGACCCCAGTCAAGCTGCCACAACTGGGGTAGAAGCGCATCAGGTTACCCAGTACCAGCTAGGGAGCGAGCTTGGCGGAGGTACCCAGCCGAGGTACAGGGAGCTCTGTCAAAATAATCATTGTGTACATTGTCACCTTTTATTGCTTTGATTTTACATAATTGACATTAACCAGCCCAGACCTCTTGTTCCGAGTTGCTTAACCCCTTAAGGACACATGACATGTGTGACATGTCATGATTCCCTTTTATTCCAGAAGTTTGGTCCTTAACGGGTAAAATCTGTATGTGCAGCATTTCATTTTATAGCATATTTGGTAGTTTTGATGGGGATACAAAAGTTTTGGAGAAAGGTAATAGATTTAATAAAGCAAATGTTGCCCCTTTCGGTCACTCTCACTCCTTCACACGTTTTACTGGGCTGGCCTGATGCCCTTCCAGATAGTGTGCAACAAAAACTTTTATGGTTCCTCTTAAATGAAGCCATTGATCTAATACCCAGATCAGGTGTAGGCATCCTTTGGCACTCCAGATGTGGACTACATCTCCCTTGATAATTTCCCAGCATTATGGCTGTAAGAGCATTATGGGAGATGTAGTCCAAAACTACAGGAAATTACCTGAATCTCCCTCTATTGAGGAATGGGTGGACAAAGTAGAAGTCATGAGAGGTATGAAAGAAATTGCACTAGGGAGCGAGATGGTCTTTTTGTAAGGTATGGAATCTATGGATTGATCACTGGAGAAATAAACTTTTTCTAGGATAAGCACATCAAAAGAGTATTGTGGAAGCACAGTTGGTATTTGTCTGTGATTATACATTATATTTTTTCTGTCTATTTCTTTTTTGGTAAATGAGGCATTTTGTTATTATGATTTAAAATTAATGATTGTTTTATTTATTCCAATTATGGATAATAAATAATGAAATAAAACATTATGTTTTGTTGATGATATTTATACATTTTCTAAACAGACTAATTGTTTTGTGATAAGTCATGAATAATGTTTTTGTGATGACCTAACACAAAACAATTAGTCTGTTAATGAAAAATGCTCAATTAACATCAGCTTATATAAAAAAAAGGAATGTTGCACATACAAACTCCAGGCATCATGACCACTTCAAACCAATGAAGTGGTCATGGTGCTTGGCGTAACCCTTCAAGATTCTGAGCTGTACATATGGCTTTATGTGCAGCTGGGAAACATAATCTATACCTGGCTAATTGAGGGATGGGGAAAGGGATCTTCCTCATCTTATCCACCAATGTAATTACTTGGGAGAAGATCTGAACCTGAATCCCTACACCCATGAAGTACCCACAAATTACAGCATGATGAAAGATTTAGAGTTAGGGAATAGTTACTGTTAGAGTCTTAGAGGGTATCTACCTTAAAGACGATTGGTCAGCATTAATCTGCTAATTATGTCCCTGTTGGTTGAAGGGGAACCCCAGCCTTTGATCTCTTCTTTGGGGACACGTTATTCAAATTCTTCTGGATCTATGATGCTTGTTGTAGAACTGGAACCCAAGTGCAGACAACCTCACATCCTTGAAAATCATCACTACCAACAATGGCCTGGAGCACATGGGGAAAAAAGAAAGAAACAGGAGTCTGAAAGAAAACTTGAACCAGATTGTCAGAGCCCTGAATGGACCAAATAGAGCCAGAATCAATCCAAAGATAAAAATTGGTGAGCAGGGTAGCACTGAGTCAAAGATCAGGTACTGAGGTTAAAGGTCAGAAATCTAGGAGTCCTATAGAACAGGAGGGAAGTCAGGATACAGGGACTGGAAAGGAGCAGGGTAGCGAGGAGAGCAAGAACAGAATGCAAATCGCCAGGACAGAAAGCTACCAAGTAAGTGAGCTTGAGTGCCTTGGGGTTTCATAGGTAGAGACCATTCAGGTGTGCATGCAGGGTGCAGAGTAAACTCCATTGCCAAGTTGACACAAATTCCATCATACATCAATAGGAACAAGACCACTGGGTCATGCATTAAAATTGTGTCACCCTGGCCCATGCTCCATAACTGATGAAACTCAATAATGATGCAAATAATGTCGCAAAGCTGCTACCATCCCCAGATGATGCTGAGGGCGCCATAGACCAGCAGAACACTAAGATGTAGGTGAGGGAAGGCCCCAGCCTGCCAAACTAATTCCTTTATTGTATGAATTTGTAACTTAGCTTAGGGTTATTAGCAGTATTTGTAGAGATTTATTATATATTAATAATTAATGTTGTGTATATATTAAAAGAGAACTGCTTTATACAAGAGAAAGATGAGCAATGCTACCCCAAATACAATACAGGAGTAAATATAATAACTAAATGGAATAAAAATCATGATCTGATCACTTAAATGTAATGTGATATTGCTTTGCATTTCCTAGAACAGAAATCTGTTGAGTATAATCCAGGACAGTAAATTATGTGCAAATGCAACTCTGCTGTACAGCGCCATCTAGAGGACATTTCCAGTATTGAATACACACAGTATATCGCGATCCTGGTTTGGATGGATATCCAACAAAAGTGTTTGCACACAGAGTATATTTCGGAAATAAATCCCTTTTTATATTTTCTGGCAGTGACGTGGTTTCTATGGTTCAAACTGCTGCTCCCTTTTGATCAGCCAATGACTGAGCAGATCCTGATGTACTTTGACATTGTAAGAAAGAGCAACTGCCTTTTCTTCCCACTCTTAAGACACAAATTACAACTGGTATAATGAGATCATATTCAAGAAATCAAATCTCCTTTCCATTTCCAAATGTTATTATTAGATCAAATCCCAATATTGCAGGCTTTTTTCTCCATCCACTCATAACCTACTGAACTGCTGGAAAAAAGTAGGTTTTACATACCAGGCAAAGCTCCCGGCTCTGCTCGTTGCACCCCGTCTGACGATGGAAGTCAAGCAGAGGTCCAACCAAAAGGCTTCATATAGAGAAGGAACAGCTACAATTGGCAATAACTCTGAATGTGCAGTTTTTCAAACAGAAACAATGCAGATTCAGACTCCTACCACCACCACCACTTCAAATCACTAAAGTGGTCATGGTAGTTTCAGCAACCCTTTAATAGTATCTGCTTACACCACTTGAAGAGTTCTATGGTTACTATACTACTGTCTGAATTTTCAGGACCAGACTATTTGCTTCTTATGTTACCTACTTGAGCCAGGTTTTTTCTGCAGTCAGGACATACTGTTTCATTAGAATTTATTTTCTAAATTGTGTTTGCCATGAAATTTCAGTAAAAAATATACATGGAAAAAAATAGTAAATTGACAATAGATTTTCCTTCCCACAATTCTTCAGGAGAAAGAAATCAATGGACACAAGAATCATAGGTGATTGTCCTCTTCATCAGGGTTATGATGCTTTTCCGTTCATGGTTTTAAAGTGGAATATGCACACTACAGGGTCAGGAACACAAACATGAGGTGGCTTGCTCCCCTCCCTTAGCCACCATAGAAATGGTTAAAACATACCTTATTTCAAGTGCCAATTCAGGTAAAATAGGTCAACTTTCTACCTCCTCCATCCACCTCAAGCTCCCGAATGAGTTACTTCCATGACAGGCGCACAGTCGGATTTGCCGGCATATGCGCTAACCTTACCCAAACCCCCATTGAAACACTGACACAGGTTATACTGTTGGAAATAATCCAAGACACAGCTACCCACCATATCCATTGTAGGGGTGTACCAAGACACCGCTACCCACCAGCTCCAGTGTAGGGTGTACCAAGACACCACCACACCCCCAGTTTCGGAGCCACCAACGGGCTCGAACCTACCAACCACCTGCAACACTGCCCAATCCACACTAAACCTCAAGATGCCCACTTTCTCCTCCATCTACCCTCCGATTTAACCAGGCCATTCCCCGCCACAGCTCAGGACTTGACACCTAAAGCTCCTGAGCGACCACCACCACACCAGAATAAGGCCTGTTGAATGCCTTCCTGAAGGCCCAATTTAAACAGATCACACCTTACATCCGAAAACGTACCCCATCCCACCTGGAGTACCCAGGGAGCTTTCCTCTCAATTTGTTGTGTCTCACTGTTACACCGCCCCCACATCTACCGCCATCAATTTTTTATTAATTCGTCCTCGACACCGAGCTACCACGGCCGGGTATGTAGTATGTCTCCAATGTAACCGAGGAACCATCTCGGACCGCACCACCACCATACCCGTGGCCAGCTCCCATAGCCGGTCCACCTCCCTCTGCCTCCATCTGATGAATTCCTTTTCCGGGACCATGCCGATATCCAGAATGTCCTGGACAGTACACCTTGTTACCTCCCGGAAATTTTTCTCCCCTAATGTCTTGCCACCAAAATGCCCGAAAACCAAAACCACTCCAGCTCCACCAATTCCAAAGGAAAGCCCAGTTGCACTTGAACCGAAACGCGGCTCCCATCTGCGCCCCTTAGATATAAGAATGCCCCACCAACCATGCCACCAAACCTGAAACGAAAGTAATTAGCGACAAGGCATAGCCCCAAACACAAACCATACGTCCGTAGCCTTTAAACCAAATAGACCGGCCTGAAACAGGACTTAAACCGTACTGACTCCCACCTGCCTAAACGTTTCTCTAGGTCCTCACTTAAAACAAGGAGGGGGGCGCCTCTGTTACCGCCATTATCCGGGAAGAATGGGTCCCAAAGTGCCCGGGATCCAAACCCAACATTGTCAAACCCCTTCGAACAAACACCTGCGGGAATTGAATCGTGACAGCACCGATCTGTCCCCTTTTACCAGTAAGCCACCCGGGATGTCCGGGCAAAGCTCCAAGTAGCATGATGCGCTTAACGCCGGCGTACCCCTGACCCCAGCAGGGAATATAGCTTTACCAAACCTCCTTTACCAGACACATCCGTTCTTGAACAACCCTACCGAATCGTTACCTTAACCGACTGAGGTTCGACGACCGAGTGTAGAACCCCCCAAAACCTGCCCGAAAGGCACTCACAAGCTCCCCAATCCAAATTGCCCCAAGCCTCCGAGAAGGCCACCGCAAGCAAACTCACTGCAAAAGTAGAGTAACACACCACCAGGCGTTGCGTTACCCAAGGAAACCAGCCTCCCGGCACCGACATATTTCAAATCTCTCCGTAAGACCCACGATGCCTGACGGACGTGACAACGTTCCGTCACTTCCTCCCAATCAGTTTGAACCCTAACGACAATGCCGCCATGCTCCTGTCCATTGCCGATGGAGCTAACGCTGAACGAACAAACGGATTAGGAACCACAGCAAGGTATCCCTTTGCCCCTCCTTTGACTGGGACCCCCACTGAAACCAACCGCCTTGTCCCACATATCCCAAACCTTCACATAGGCAGTCCCTGTGCCCGGTGCCATAGGATTCCATATCGATCCTCCAAGCATGGCGTCTCAAACTGCCACATTTCCTCCAGACCGGACTGTTCCTCCTCCCATTCCCCCTGGGGCCGCCATTCGCAGCTTGTCCCCTTGTGCGCGAGCCAAGTAACCAGCCCCTACCTTCCGCCAACCAGGCACGTGGCGTGCCTGCACCCGATACCTGAACAGGTATCTGCCTTCCAGGTATGCCCCGGAATCTATGTTCCCAGAAGCATCCGTGAACAACTCGATACCACCCGCAAAGGCTCCACAAGTAGCCTTCGCCATGAAATGGCTACCGACCCAGTCCTCGCGACTAACCCGACATGCAACTTGAAACTGCCTTATGAACAACTGCGATTTCTCAGTGACCTTCTTGGACCTGCGAAACCTTCAGCCTGAACTCCTGAAGTGCAGTCAACTGAACCCCAGGCAATCGACACTCTCCTACCACCGAAACAATTTCCAGCCCAAGCAAAGATGTGCTGTAGGATTCCGGCGACCGTAAGGTATGTCCACAATGGCCCGGCCCAGCCGAGCCCACACAGCAAACTATCTTACAGATAATGTACTAAGGAACCCCTTCCTGATTCCTCTTTCACCTCCCACTCCCAGACAGATCCAACTTCCCGAAGTAGGAACATGAAATGGAACTGCCCCTTGGCAAGTAGAGGTTATCAATAGGAACCTGCAAACATGCAACCCAAAAGATGGAAGGGTCGCCAATAATTGAACGCCACAGCAGAAACGCACCGATAGTCGCCAGTGCCGCTCCAAGCCGCAACCGCGGGGCTGAAGCCCGCCGAGTACCCTTCCTGCCTTAGGTTTTCCTTTTTTGACGCATCAGTTGACACCATGACTCCCACTGCCTCCGGAACACCCGTATCGAAGCCTACCCAACGGTCCCCAGTTGCACTGACCTTTCTTCTGTCCAGCCAGCACCGCACCTCCTGGTGGTGTGCCGGCAGCCCCAGGAAAGAGCGCATTTCCTGCACCATCATTAGGAACCACCCCTTTTAAATCAATGAACTCCTCGAGCGGAAGACAGGAAATTTTTTAATTTTTTTTTAAATCCCCTTAATCAAATCTTATCCTCTTACTTCAAGTGCCCCCCCAATGTCCCCGCGAAGGACACGTGGCCATTTCACCGCCCGAACCCCCGTCTGCGCTGTCCTTCCGTCCAGCTTGCCAGGCTCTGGAGTATCCGGTGGACGCCGACTCCTGTCCGCGCTGGTCCCGCCTCAAGCCCGTAGGAGTAACACTCCTCGACCTGCTCCTCCATCCCTCATTCTACCTCCTGCTGCTGCTGTGCCTGTCATTGTCGTTGCACTGCTCCCTCTCGTACTCACACCTGCTGATACTCCTCCTGTGTTCCTGCTCCTGAGAACGCCCCCCAGGGGGCTCCCGCTTGCCTCTGTGCCTTACGTCCATTTCCACCCGTCCATGTCCTCTCTTCTGCCCTCTGCTTGCAGTACCTGGCCTCTCCCCGGCCGCCTCATCCACTTGTGGCCCCTTTAATTAATCCTGGTTGCTGGCCTTCCCCTCCATAGCTGCTCTGCTGCGCCTGTGAAGACTCCGCCTGATGCTTTCACTATCCCCTTCCTTCACCTCTGACCTGACCCTGGCCTCATCCAGGGCCGCCTCCGTCTGTGTCCCGCCGACCTGGACCCCCCCTGCCTGCCCATTGGGGGGGGGGGACCACTTTTACACTGCTGGCTCCTTGCATCATTCCCCCCATCCCTCAGGTATGCCACCAGGGGCAGACTCACCAGGACGCCTCTTGCCGCTCTCCCTACCTGGCGGCCATCATGTCATGCTGGATTCCGCTGTCCTTTGTGCTTTCCCGTCCCCCCGCCTTATGGCAGGGGGCGCTCTTCCTGTGCGGCCTCATCCTGACCTGCCACCTTGCCTGACCGGCGCGTCGAACATACGGCGCCAGCCGCCCTCCAACTCCTGCCTGCTTTCCGACCTCATTTTCAGCCTTCCCCTTGCCGCCTCCTGACAGGCTCTTGGGCCGCCGAACTAACGATGTCACTCACAGGCTGCCGCTGGGGTGGCCTCGCTCTCCTTGCTGGCCTCCGTTCCATCGCCGCATGGCGGGGGGTAGCAGACATGCTTGGGGCCCCCCAGCTGCTCCTGCAGCCACCAGCCACGATTCTGCCACAACCTTTGTGTCCAGGATGGTGGCTTGCTTGGAGTTCTGTCTGAGGCTGATGGGAGTGAGCATGCAGCAGCAGCAGCTCACTCAAGCCTCTCCTGTACCTCCATGCTGCCTCCTGCCTCAATACTGCTCTGTTCTTCTATGCTGTCTCCATGCTGCTGCCTTCTCCCTCCAGGGCAGGCAGCTTTCACAACTGACAGGTAAGCTTAGGTTCAGTTAAAATGGCCACTTCATATAATGGCTGGTATAAATACTCCCCTTATGGCTCCGCCCTACCATGCTTGCTAGCTGTCACTAAATTCCTGTGGCTGCTATGCCTACCTCCTGGCTCTGTCAAGGCCTATTCCTCTTAGCTGCGCTGATCCATGGGCTACATTTATAAAGGAGCCGTTCCTTGAATTCTACAACATGCAAAACCATAAGCACCACAATAAAGGCAAATTGAACAATGTATGATTAAATTAATTCTGCAATGCCGGCTCAGCTCAAGCTGTTAGAGCTCATAAAGTAATAAATATACAATTTATCATGAAGATAGATAGAAGATAGAAACTGTTACAGCATTACTGACCTCTTTACCTTACTTTCAGCGACTCCACTCCCAGAGTTTTACAATGTTGTAACATCCACCCTCAGGCATTGCCTTGTTGCCACCCCTCTGTACAACAAATTGCCAGAGCAGGCAATTCTCTTTCACAACGATAGGGGAAGAGAGAGAGGAGGGGTGCAATTTCTTCTAATCAGCAATATTTCAGATCTGTCTGTAGAATATATTCACTATCCTTTAACGGAGAATAAGTTGTAGTACCCATAACAGGTGCACTTTTAGAGGAACACTCCACATGCTATAGTGGTTATGGTGGCAGGAGGGCCTTGCTGTCCCTCCCCCCACTGTAAATAGTCAAACCACTTTAGAACAGTGTTTTTATTTATTACTGGCATTTATAAAGCATCAACATATTCCACAGCGCTGGAATGACAACAGTACGACTTTTTACCGGGGTGCGCTCCCCACCTCATTCCAGCAGCCAGGAGAGCTGAATGCTCCCAATTAGGAGCTTCTATTAGCTCTCTTAAACAAAGCACTGCAGTGATGGACTAACCCATTGATTGGCAGCATCAGCTGATCTCTCTCAGGGAAAGATCGTCGTGCATTGCTTGCTTTAGCTCAAACAGAGAAGGTCCAGTTCTCTGAAAGCTGTATTTAAGGCTGTTTTATATGTGCTAAAACTGTATTCTTAACACTATAGTATGCCCATGTCCCTGTTTCTTTAGAGATGAAAGGGTTAAAATCCTTTTTTCACTCACCTAATGCCAACACCTGGTCCCTCACTGGATTGCTCTCCTCCCATGTCGTCATACAGATGGAGGAACCTAACACACATTAGAGCTTTTGCTTTGCATGAAAATGTCCAGTGTCTTCATAATCCCCATAAGAAAGCACTGACACACTGTCCAATGTTATTTTACAGAGTTAAACTCCGTGAGAAACAAGGAAGTGCCTCTAGTGCCTGTCTGGTAGACAAATACTAGAGGTCTTTGAAACTGCAATGGTTTCACTTGCACGGTTAGGAAGACAGGGACACTGCACTCAGGCCACTTTAACAAAGTGTTCTGGGTGCCTATAGTATCCCTTTAACTCCTTAAGGACACATGACATGTCATGATTCCCTTTTATTCCAGAAGTTTGGTCCTTAAAGGGTTAAAGGAAAACATGTACCCAAACAAGGACTTAAAGTGTTTAAAGGAACACTATAGTCACCTAAATTACTTTAGCTAAATAAAGCAGTTTTAGTGTATAGATCATTCCCCTGCAATTTCACTGCTCAATTCACTGTCATTTAGGAGTTAAATCATTTTGTTTCTGTTTATGCAGCCTTAGCCACACCTCCCCTGGCTGTGATTGACAGAGCCTGCATGAAAAAAAACTGGTTTCACTTTCAAACAGATGTAATTTACCTTAAATAATTGTATGTTAATCTCTAAATTGAATTTTAATCACATACAGGAGGCTCCTGCAGGGTCTAGCAAGCTTTTAACATAGCAATGGATAAGAAAATCTTAAGTAAACAAAACTTGCAATAAAGAAAGCCTAAATAGGGCTCTCTTTACAGGAAGTGTTTATGGAAGGCTGTGCAAGTCACATGCAGGGAGGTGTGACTCGGGTTCATAAACAAAGAGATTAAATAGCAGAGGATTGAGCAGTGAGGCAGCAGGGGCATGTTCTATACACCAAAACTGCTTCATTAAGCTAAAGTTGTTCAGGTGACTATTGTGTCCCTTTAAATGAATAATATGGAGATTGGAAGAAAAAATAACACCATGATCAGTTTACAAAAGAACAATAATTTTGAAAATAATAATATTACTTTTTTTTTATTATTATTCTTTATTTTTGAAAGTGCATAGATAATTACAAGTTTCAATACTGCCAGAGAATGTTACAGTAGTCAACAATTGGTGACATTTTGGTGTCAGCTTCAAGATACGTTGCACTTTTTTTTTTTTCATAAGAAATTCAAGAGTAAGCATAGACAGGCATAACAGAATAAAATAACAATCAGGTTATACATGCTGTCTAAAACAATTTTGCTTGAGATCATATTACTATAGATAGTCATATATTGCAAGTGATCTGCACAATTTTAAATGCTTAGTTACTCATGGGTTAACTTTAAGGAAACAGTAAACATAAGAGACAAACCAGTAAACACAGGGTAAACCAACATGTCTGTATATTAGTCAGGTGTTTTGCGTTCTGGTCGAGCAGGCTAGCCAGTCATGGTTATACTGTAGCATGCATAAATATAAAATATGGTTTAAAGATTAAATGAAAAGGGTCATTTGTTGGACTATATAGTCAAACATGCTATTCCATATGGTAGACAAAGTGAACTGGTTTAAGACTTGCTATCTAGTAGTTGGAGTTTACTAATAAATGACATGTTGCTGTAAAAAAGGGTCTGCTGTGTCTAAAGCGTGGTCTCAATACCTCGGCAAAAGAGCATAGGCTCATTGTTTGATTTTAGGTACTCGCATTGGGACCCTAAAAAAAAAGAAAAATGTGTTGGGAGTATATCTGAGTCTTAAATTTGAAGGGTGCGCCAAAGTTCAGCTCCCAGGCAGGGCAGTGTTCGGGTAGAAGCAAGGGTCCCATGGTATGAGTGTGGGCTATGGCTGGAAGCCGGATGATGAGGCAGTCCCCACGTACCTAGCCGATGCCCGTTCTGGAGGCCGTGGTTGCAGGTCTGGGGCGGAGTGCTATTGAGGGGCTGGTCCGCTGTGACGTCTTCGGTCCTGGCTGTGGTAAAAGATTGTTGCTGGCTGGGTGTGTGTCTGGTGGCTGGGTGTCTCTGCCCTTTGGGTCTGTTTCAGCGATGCTGGCTGCATGGTGGGCAGGTGATGTCGGCGGGCGCTTTGTCCGGTGGCGGTGCTTTTTTGGTTGTGGGCCATCGGGACCCCACATGGTGGTGGGAGGTCTGCTGAGGCCTCCCGCAGGTGTCTTTGGCGCTTTTGCTCGGCCTCTGTGTGGTTGCTTCGGGCGGGTAATGCCCGGTCTTCACTTCTTCTGCTGAGTCTCCTTGGCTTGTGCCCGCTCTCGTGGTGGCAGCGCTTTGCTTGAGCGACCCGACTGCGTGTTGGGGAGTGTGCAGTGGCTCCTTGCCGGTGTAGCAGGTACCGGAACGGGATGTGAGCACCTAGCTTCGATGCGGTCCCAGAAGCACATGCATACCGCGTCGAATTTTGCTCTGAAGGCCTTTGCCCAGTCCTCCTCATCTTGTTGTCGAGGATTAGCGGCCCTGTCGTCGGCCATCTTGGCTAGGCTTTGTGGTGCCGTCCAGGCAGCGTGGTTCGGGTCTGTGTCCCAGAGGTGAGTGCTTGCCTTATGCTGGTGGACCGGGATAACCCCCACTGGTCTGGGGGGGGGGAGGAACTGGGATCTTTCCGCATCGAGGCCCTCAGTCGTTGCGGGGGTAAAGCGGCCGTCTCTTTCCTGCTCCCACCTGGCGAGTATGCCTCCGACACTCGTCCGGCACAAATTGCTTATTTCATCGCTTGAGGGGTATCATTATGTTCTGCTCAGTGTTCCCTATCGATTGCTGGCTCTATTGGCCCGATTAGTATCCGTTTGGGTCAGGAAAAACAGTTTAATTTGTGAATCTATGCAGGAGCCCATGAGGTTGTCGACCAGTCGGTTCTGCCCTGCCCCTATAATATTACTTTTAATCACAAACCTTATGCATATTCCTGCTTAGTACTGGAACTTAGTACATGTGAGAATGCAATGTGTACAATGCCTATTTTGTTATTCTGGTAGCCTGCTAATACTTCATATAACCAAAAGAAAACAAACTTGAGTACCTTTCTCCCTCCACTATCCGAATGATTGTATGTAAAGGTTTCCCAGTGAACTCATGCGATATTAATTGTTTGAATCAGAAGTTTCGCTCATGATGCATTCCTGACCCAGTCCTTTTATAACCCAAATCTAGACATCTAAGGACAGCTCAAAGTTGCTCTTAAATTGCAAACATAACTAACAATTTAATACAGGTAAGAGTTGTGTTTACCTGCGATGTATTTGACTTGCACCTGACTCTTCCAATGTTTGAGGTACATATTTTGAAAGAGACACTTCTACTGTGCGGTGCTGGATAAATTAGCAATGTATAATAATGGTCTCTTCATTGTGATACTATGCAGAGCAACCTAAATCAGTGCAATCGAGATACTGCAGAGTTAGGCTGATCCATATTGAAAACCAGGAGTTGTCATAACCATGATAATACAGAGTTACACTGACCTGAACAAAACTCTAAGAAATCTTGCCTTTACCAGTCTCAGCACCTGCAAAAAACTAGGAATTATTTCATTCTACAAAAAAACAAGTCCTGCGCCCAAACTCCCACTACTCTTGGGCGGCAGCAACGATCATGGTACACATCAGCCCCAATGCATACAGTAAAAAACAAAAACAAAAAGTTACCTGGGCTCTTTCCCAAATCCCTATGTATATTTAAAAAAAATGTAAACAAATGGAGGTTATTTAGTTACTCCAATGGCCATTAGAGGGGATGCCCACCTGCGCAGGTAACTTTTTTTCTTTGGTATTTACTCTAAAAATATACATAGGGATTTGGGAAGGAGTGTACGGTGGTCCTTGCTGCTGCCAAATAAGTAGTGGGAGTTTGAACGCAGGACTTTTTTTGTATTTGGATTCACGTTTGGATCACACAGCTATGTTACTTTTTTCTTTCATTATTTCATTTTACCTGCCAAGTGTTCTGACATCTTTTTGACATCTGTGAAGTTGTTGAATTAAGTCGGTATTATAAATGGAACTTGAAATGAGTTTACCTTCATGCTATTGATGATTGTTGTTGCATTGTCAATTAGAATTACCTCTGATTATTAGTCACTTAGAACATGTTATCACATTGGCAGTCAAAAAATTTGAAGAAAGGGAAATGAAGTAATAATATTATGAAACCCAATGTCATTTCACACTAACAAGATTTTCCTAAGTGTATGTTTTAGATGAGATTCATCATGCCTATTAAATTAACAATAAAGAGCCATCTTATTGATTGCATTAAGTCATTAAGCCATAACTAAATCGTACAACATTCAATACTAAAAGTATTTCATCACAGTGATAAATGATGTTAGATTTTAAAAAAAATGCAGTTAAAGGCACTTATCAAATGTTCTCACATCTCCAGCTAATTACTGCCTTTTAGCAACAGAATCTACATTACATTCTTGTATAAATGTGGCCTGCAATATGAAGCCATGGTGCTGCAGATCATCAATAGAGGTTCCTGTACTCCAAACTTCTAATGTTACTGATAATTTTCCCAAATTGTCCTACAATTTAGCACAGTTCTTTACCCTCAATGTACTTTAAAGGACCACTGTAGGCACCCAGACCACTTCAGCTTAATGAAGTGGTCTGGGTGCCAGGTCCAGCTAGGATTAACCCTTTATTTTATAAACATAGCAGTTTCAGAGAAACTGCTATGTTTATATTAGGGTTAATCCAGCCTCTAGTGGCTGTATCATTGACAGCCACTAGAGGCGCTTGCGTGCTTCTCACTGTAAAAATCACAGTAAGAAGACGCCAGCGTCCATAGGAAAGTATTGTGAATGCTTTCCTATGAGACTGGCTGAATGCGCACGCGGCTCTTGCCGCGCATGCGCATTCAGCTGAGGAGGCGGAGAGGAGGAGGAGAGCTCCCCGCCCGGCGCTGGAGAAAGAGGTAAGTTTAACCCCTTCCTCACCCTAGAGCCTGGCGGGAGGGGGACCTTGAGAGTGGGGGCACCCTCAGGGCACTATAGTGCTAGGAAAACGAGTATGTTTTCCTGGCACTGTAGTGGTCCTTTAATAGAGGTTTTAATGTTCTGAACTACACATTTCACTATCACCATTGTAAACTGCAGGGACTTCAAAGAAAAATCTAGCAGGGCTATTAACTAAAGTGGGAATTCAAAGTGCATTTCATATTTAAAGGGACACCACAGTCACCAGAACAACTACAGCTTATTGCATTTGTTCTGGTTCGTAGAATCATTACCTTTTAGGCTTTTTGCAGTGTTTACATTGTGGAATAAACCTTTAGTAGTGTGTGTGGAACTGCACTCACTCCCATAAATCTGAGCCAGGGTGCTTGCTGAACCGGAATCAAACACCAGATTTCCAAAAATTAATAAAATAATTAAGGGCTGATAGCTTGACAAAGTCCTTTTGGGGTCGAAACGTTGCTGCTGTGGTTCTTAATAAAGTACCTGTCTTGAACCAAGAAGTGCCTGGACCTTTATTATTTTATACATTGTGGAATAGGCATACCTCCCCTGGCCACTCCTCAGATGGCTACTAGAGGTGCTTCCTGGGGCAGTAGTGCCATTCATTGTCTCCACTCTCTGCATGGAGACACTAAACTTTCCTCATAGAGAAGCATAGATTCATTGCATCGCTATAAGGAGATGCTGATTGGCCAGGGCTGTGTTTGGCTCCGCCCTGCTTACTTGGCAATCTCAGCCAATCCAATGCTTTCTGATGATGTCAGCCAAAGAGGCAGATCTGGGGTAAGGCCTGTTCCTGCAGACTTGTAGAGATCTGGAAATAAGGTAAGTTTTAACCCTTTCTAAGGGGGAAAGCAGGTGGTGTGGCAAGCCACCTAAGTGGTGGTTTTAAAACTATAGGGTCTGGAATACATGTTTGCTGAAAGCTTAGCTGATTTTTTTCCAGATCAGCTATTTTGATATTAAATTTGAAATTCACTTTGAATTCTAAAATTATTGAATAACCCTAAAAGAGAATTTTAAATATTAAGTCAAAATAATCAAAAATAAACATAGCGGACTTAAATAATTTGTGGAAGACTAACACTCCTAAATTTGTTTGCGTTCATAACAATTCACATTTTAGCAAGTAATCTTGAAAGTATCTGGTTAGTGAAATGACATATATACAAACATGAGTCTTTTTATAAAACATATAAAAACAATGACTTGCAAACTACTAATATATATATTAAAATATTATTGTATAGGGTTATTAATGTCACCAGCAGTGATTTCAAAATCAGGATTTTGAGGTTTAGATTCCTGATCAGAGTCTCCGTCACCCTTACCACCTCCATACCATAAGTGAAGCATTGCCAGACATCATAATGTAGACCTGACAGATAGCTGTTACATATCTTCTTAATTTCTGTTAGTGGGTTAGGTGTGAGGCAGGAATATGAAGATATGTCATATGCCCACGTATCACAAACAACCTACATGCTAGAACCAATTCCATATGGCCTGCTAAATAGCAATGATAGACAATTTACACAAAAACACAAAAGGTTTCTGTGCCACCTACTTGAGTGGCATTAATGAGAAATAAACAATAATGATCCTTTCGGGGAGAGCCTCTTAATGGCCATTAGCCATTAAATTATTACAGCTCACCTGGCATTTGCTATGTTTAACCAATGGCCAAAGTCAAAGCCTCACTAATGTTATAAAGACCAGGAATAAGAAAAAACTAAATTTTGCATTTACGGATTGCCATATTTTGAAGGTCACACTTAAAACTTAAGGGGACACTCCACACATATAATGCACTTCAGTCTGTCATATTTGTGCCAGTTTATAGACTGATCAGCAACAACATCAAATCCACTGACAGGTGTAGTGAATAACATTAATTGTATTGTTATTTCTTTAAGGTCATGTGAAGAGATGGCAGCAGGATGCACTATGGGAAGAAGGCAGGCCGATGAAGCCAGTGTTATGCTCTGGGCAATGTTCTGCTGGGAGACCTTTGAATCCTGGCATTCATGTTGGTGTCACTTTGACACGTACCAGCTACCAAGAGATTATTGCAGACCACGTACACCCATTCAAGGCAATGGTGTTCCCTGATGGCAGTGTGCTTTTTCAACAGGATAATGCGCCCTGCCACACTGTAAAAATATTTCAGTAATTTTTAGTCCATCAACAGAAATCAGCATTTTTCTAACTTGTGTCAGAAACACCGTTTTTTCTTCCTCTTCCTCTTCCTCTTCCACAGAACTAATGGAAGCAGCAGACATGCTATGCTAGCACTTGCCTGTCTTCCTCTTCATCACAGCTCTTTGAGAAACATAGTAAATCTGCAATTGTTTGTTTGGCCTTGCAACTGCAGCACAGAGGTTTCTCAATGAGAGGTATCTGCATTATTCTCCTAAAGGTTTGTGCCTGGTAAAAGTGGGAGGGCTTGGAAATGCTGCAGACAACAGGTCTGC